CTCCTATCTCTTTGAATGGGGAAACATCAAATTCTCCAAAACTGTTCACTAAGCTTATGATTAAATTTCATATTTGAAATCACCAAAGAAATCTGACAACAACTGTGTCATAAATGTTGTTTCTTTTCCTCAAATAGCGTTATAAAAGGCTTATTTTTCAGGCAAGATCAGCCAGTGCGCATGCGCAGTCCTAAGCGCACGTCTCAGAGCGTTGACTGTTTCTATAGCAACCGGGACTTCTAACGGCAGCTGCAGTGACGCGCTGGCTTTACCGATTAGCGATTGGCTCTTTTCCTCAGAAGGCGTGGCTTCGTTCGATAGAGTGGCCATATTTAGTTTTGCATTTTTCCCCATTCAAAACTATACGAGTGACATGTCTTGGGTATTCTATAGTCTTTGACAAGAGTGAATGGTTTGTCCACGGTTTTTTTTTTCTTCGCTGTTGTTGTAATGTATTGGGAAGCCAGAATGCGCATCCATCAACAGAAACATATATTAGCCGAACCCTGTTTGTTTTACGTGTTATTTATAGCAAACCATATTACAGATGCGCTGTCAGATTTAAGTTGAACCGTGGTCCTAGCGCATGCCGAACCGTGTGTGGAGAACCGTACGGTTAGATTTTTTTCCGCAAACCGTTCCACCCCTAAGAAATACTAAAGTAGTATTTTTGTTTTATTTGCAACTTTGTGTTACAACTGCCCTCACTGTGCCCACACATATTAATACTATAAGAGAACCCCTTAAACTAGTGATATCAATATTTGATTTAATATTTACAGTTATCAATATCAATATTACTATTATCTCTTATCAGTCAGTCTGTCTTTCTGAAAATCAAATATACCTTCATCTTTTTCTGCCGTTTGTCCTGCTGTTGTTACAGAGGCTCTTTATATCACATGCAAGCTTCAGAACTGCACAGATGCCAACAAGGGCAAACCTTTTCCTGGATACATCGACCCCAACTCCTTGGTGGTTCAAGATGAGTATGTGTTTGTTCAGGTGAGCCATTTACAGAGGGGAAACATTTGATTAGTATGGCTGTAGCAATAATTATTTTTCTTACGATGTGGCATTGATATTATAAATTCTGGTATTGATAATTAAGCATTTCCCATAGTTCAATATATTAAATTATTCAACAATACTTAAGTATATTATGTATATATTTTTAATTTGAATGCAAACTTTATTTATTATCTTTACTTTATTTATTTAAATTTTTTTCATTTAAGTCAAGTACCTTCATTTTAATGACATTCTGTTATATGTATGCACATTTCCAAATGATTTAATGGGACAGATATTTTCCTTTAAAAGCACACACAACCAACAAGTTTATTTTAAAAACACAAACGTAAGGCTAGAATTCACTACATGACTTTTGCCCAGATTTTTGCCCCAGTTTACAGTCTAAACTGTAGCTAGATGCCGAAAGTCAGAGCCAGTCTACAGATTTGAGTTAACAGATTTCATAGAAAAATGGCATAGTCTATGATGGACACGGTCTCTGATTTTTTTTTTTTTTTAGCTTCAGACTATGAATCCATCAAGTCGGAGGATATCCAACATGTTTAATATTTTAAAACACATTGTTTTAATTTACAAAGTCGGCAAGTGTGGGATGCCGTGTTTTGAAATCTGTTCAGATGTTAAAAGTTGCGTAGTGTGTTCCAGCTTTAAGTTTAAACTCTTGTAGTAGTGTCCTTTATTGCTATCCAGGACACATCTGGATGAATGCAATGTGGATGCATTACTTTTTTAGATACTTTTGAATATTCCAGACCCTCTTTACACCTGTATTAAGCACTATATAGTGCTTAATCTTAATACCGAGTGTAAACAGGGTCTATGAGGTGCCTTATTGAGGCAAATTAAAGCACAGATATAAACTAATCCTCCAGATTCAGTCTGTGACGTGCATTTGGCACAGTTTCAACTGCGATTCAATTATGATAACGTGATTGAATTGCCCCGATCATAATGTGAGCCCTAGTATGTGACCAATATCCTAGTAGAACTCAAAATGTTACTTCATTCTAAAGTGTCTTTGTCCTGTCTATTTGTGATCCCTCCATTACCCAAGGTGTCAACCGGTGGCCGGCCAATCTACTACGTGTCATCCAGGCGAGATGTGTTTACACCCATGAAGCTTCCCAAATACACCCTTCCAAAGGTAGAGTAGCTCATTCACACTTGCTCAACACAAAGTCAGAATCTGCCACGCTGTGATAGAGTAAACAGACATTGCTATTTCAGACCCAGATCATCATGTCCCTCAATGTTAGTCTTTGAAGCTTCAAACCTTTACAAAATCCGATTTTTTTCGCCCTGGCATCTGGCAGGCTCTTACTTCTGAGTGAGTGAATTCAGGGATGCAGATGCTACCGCAGTCCCTCGGTTCTCAGGATGCTGTGTTATTATTCAAAGCTTAAAATCTGCTGCGCTCACATGACAATTAAACATGTTTTATTCAATCAAGCTCTCGGCGCTCCTTTAAGCACACATCCAGCAATCCTTGCACAGTCTGGGGTAGATGAAATTCACAAACTGCCAGCATGTGGTTTTGTTGCATTTGCCCAACTGACAAGCTCAATTTAAGGCTAATAAGAATATTTGCCGTACGCCGGAGCTGTGAGCAAAAACAAGGCAGGTGAGAGTAGGGTCTGATACTGATTATTAATCGGATTCAGCTCAGTGGGGTGAAACCGCCACTGCTCTCCAGCTGTCCCCAGCCGTCCCAGTAACAACATTCATATTCAATCTCACTTGATTAGAGGCAAAAATCACATTAAAGGTTAAAGTCCTCCTCCTCTGATATATGTAAATGAGAAGGGTAAATGTGTTTAGAATATTAAAAGGCACTTAAGTTGTTCGGAGTTCGGCCTACTTTTTCTTTCTGATGACTGAAAAGACAGAATAGAGTTGTTAAATCATTAAAATGGCTCAGTTATGAACCACACTGGAAAATGCAGTCGGCTCATCAAGAGAATAAAAGGCAATTGAAGTTTAGTGTCTTCAATTTTATTGGCAAAGTGCACATCATATCGGTAATAAATAAAGATATGGACAGCTAGATGAAAGGAAATTCTTGTACAACAGCAATTACAATATCATATATATATATATATATATACAGTGGGTACGGAAAGTATTCAGACCCCCTTAAATTTTTCACTCTTTGTTATATTGCAGCCATTTGCTAAAATCATTTAAGTTAATTTTTTTTCCTCATTAATGTACACACAGCACCCCATATTGACAGAAAAACACAGAATTGTTGACATTTTTGCAGATTTATTAAAAAACAAAAACTCCAGTCTCCAGTGTCACATGATCCTTCAGAAATCATTCTAATAGCTAATTTACTAAATATTTTCTTTCTTATTTTTATCTATGTTGAAAAGAGTTGGGATGCTTAATATTTTGTGGAATTATTTCAGGATTTTCAGAATGCTTTAATGAATACAAAGTAAAAAAAAAAAACGCTTTTATTTAAATTAGAAATCATTTTCTATCTTGATGCCTTTACTGTCACTTTTGATCAATTTAATATGTCCTTGCTGAATAAAAGTGTTCATCCATCCATTCATCCATATGCATCATTTTCAAATGATTTCTTATACAAAACTGAAGTCATGTAACTATGCTGGGCCACGACCAGTCAACTTAGTGCATCAATTATAGCCCACTATTCTAAAACATTAGTGTCTTCAATTTTATTGGCAAAGTGCACATCATATCGGTAATAAATAAAGATATGGACAGCTAGATGAAAGGAAATTCTTGTACAACAGCAATTACAATATCATATATATATATATATATACAGTTTCATAATAAAGGTCCCTCTTACAGGAGCCTTTAATACAGCTGCAATATAACAAAGAGTGAAAAATTTAAGGGGGTCTGAATACTTTCCGTACCCACTGTATATATATACACACACTACAGTTCAAAAGTTTGATGATGGTGAGATTGTTGCAATGTTTTTTAAATAATCTCTTGTACTGACTAAGCCACATTTATTTGATCAAAACTGAATATATTTTAAAATGTATTTTTTCCTGTGATGGTAAAGCTGAATTTTCATCATCATAACTCCAGTCTCCAGTGTCACATGATCCTTCAGAAATCATTCTAATAGCTAATTTACTAAATATTTTCTTTCTTATTTTTATCTATGTTGAAAAGAGTTGGGATGCTTAATATTTTGTGGAATTATTTCAGGATTTTCAGAATGCTTTAATGAATACAAAGTAAAAAAAAAAAACGCTTTTATTTAAATTAGAAATCATTTTCTATCTTGATGCCTTTACTGTCACTTTTGATCAATTTAATATGTCCTTGCTGAATAAAAGTGTTCATCCATCCATTCATCCATATGCATCATTTTCAAATGATTTCTTATACAAAACTGAAGTCATGTAACTATGCTGGGCCACGACCAGTCAACTTAGTGCATCAATTATAGCCCACTATTCTAAAACATTCCTTGTCAGTTTTATAGACTTCTTTATTGACATGTTTATACCAACATCTGGATAATGCCGGAGGCAGAATATTATTTTGTCAAATAAATCACAGAGATCTGTTTTATGAAATGTCTTTTCCTTTTTCCCCAGGATCTGCATGTGATCAGTACAGATGAGAACCGGGTCGTGGCGGCAGTTCAAGAGTGGAACCAGAATGACACTTACAACCTGTATGTGTCAGAGGCTGGAGGCATTTACTACACGCTGGCTTTGGAGAACGTCATGAGCAGTATGGGACCAGAGGGAAATGTCATGATAGATCTATATGAGGTAACTCTCTCTGTAAAACAGTGTCATTTATTTTCCACACTGTACAGATGTGTGTTGATTCAATATCACTGTTTCATGTTCCCATTTATCTGGATATTAAAAGCATGATCAAATTGAATGCACTAATTAATGCTAATTGAGTGTAGTGTTAATTGATTTAATAGCAGTGCTAATTAATTAAGGAATTAATTACAGGACTATCAATGGGTTATCTAAACAAGGAGCAGTTAGCAACGCAGAATATTCTCTGTGCATCTAAATCTATCACTATAGGGGGAAAGCATGGACACAGTGTTAAATATGATAACAGATTTTGTGTATATGTGTATATATATATATATATATGTATATGTATGTATATGTACATATGTATATTTATTCACATGATCCTTCAGAAATCCTTCTAATATGCCGATTTGATGCTAAGTTATTTTTCATTATCATTGGTGCTCAGTTATTTATATTATTATTATTATTATCAATGTTAAAAAATAAAATAAAATAAAAAATAACTAAATAAATAAAAGTTTTTGCTGCTTAATATTTATTTGGAAAAAAAAATCCCCCAGGATTCTTTGATGAATAGAAAGTTCAATGAACAGCTTTATTTGAAACAGAAATCTTTTGTAACATAATAAATTACTTTACTGTCACTTTTGGTCAATTTTGGTAAAAGTTTATTTTTTTTATTTTTTTTGTCAAGACTACAAACAACTAAATGGATTTAAAATTTAAATCTAAAAACAATTTTGTAGCCTTGTCTGAACAAAACCTGTTTACTTTTCCTGATCTACAATTGGTTGACCTTTTCAGCATTTAACTCTGATCAATGTCCTTCCAAATACCTGTGTGCTACTAGATACCTTACCATTTCAGAGCAGGCAGGGCTTTGGAGTGCTGTTAGTTCACTCCAAAGTTTTTATAGTACTACAAATTGGTCTGATAGCGCTGCTTGCATACAAAGGCACCGCCGGAGTGAAGCCAATGATTAGAGTTTGGGTGTAGATGGCTCGTCTCTTTGAAGAATACCCCAGATCTCTATTCATACACCTCCGGATGGAACAGCGCATGCAGTCACGCATTGCATCAGAGGCCAGCAGGTGTCAAGCTATCTCCTGATCAAATAATTAAACTGTTGATGATAGCAACCCCCATAAAATCACATTTGGCCCTCGGATAGGCTGAAGAGTCCGGTGACTTGATTGAGGTCGCCACCTCCATGTAACATATGCTAAAATCTCAGCCGTCGGCTAGATTGAAATATTCGTCAATTATATAATAGTCAGTGCCCCCCGAGGCCCATCCCGGGCTGCCTCTCCTCCTCTCTAGTGCTTCCTGGTCCTGAAGAGATGTCACTTCTGTTCAAGACGGACATGGATTACCTTCTCATTCCCTTACATACTCCCATTCCACTCCAATAGATCTTACCAGGAACTGCAATATGTACGGAGCTTTTTAGAAGTTCACTTGGCTGGGTTGTGCCACAGTGACACCAAGTAATAAATGCATAACAGGCTTTTGTTTGTTTTTGTTTTTTTCTGTAAGAGGAAATGGTGAAACTTTGGAGATGTAATTATTAGTGATTTATCTCTTCCTCATTATGTTGTTTATGTTCCTGTCCCTAGGTGGCAGGAATAAAAGGCATGTTCTTGGCCAATAAGAAGCTAAATAATGAGGTGAAGACATACATAACCTATAACAAAGGCCGCGACTGGAGGCTCCTGCAGGCTCCCTCAGCTGATCTCAGAGGAAACCGAATCCATTGCATGCTGGTGAGTAGATGTGTGGGAAAACAAGAGACAGACACGTCCAAAGCTAGCCGTATAATATTTGACATTCATACATGAGCTTTATGAGGTCAGTGTACTTTCACAATGGCTAACTTGTCAGATTTTAGCTTTTGAAGCATTAATCAAAGATAGGTGTTTCTTCAACTACAGTTACTTTACTGTATGTCCCACGGTTTGATTTTTATAAAATGAACAGATTTTTTAAAAATGTTTTCTTTTGTTTTGAGAAGATCACATTAAAACTGTCTTTTTAATTTAATTTTTTATTACACCATCATTTATTTTAGGCTTCTTTTCAAATTCTGCTTGTTTTGTTGTCTCTTTGATCTAGGCCTAACCCAGGCTTTCAATCTAGAAAATTCATGATAGAATAGGAATCCTTTGGTTATTTGAAGAAAGAGTGAAACATTATTTTCATTCATTGAAATAAAATTTAAATATTACGCTTTTATGGCTTGGAAAATAACTGAAATTAAAGTCAAATTAAAATTAAAGTTTAAGTACAAAATTACTGACATAAAAGATTATATGAACTTAAATACAAATATCTACAAAAAAAAACAAAAAAACTAAAACTAATGAAAAATCATAAAAGCACATAAAACAATTACTGAGTAAATGAAAAATAAAAATATAAAAAGCTATTTCAAAATATTAATAAATACTATAATAATAATGTATAAATAATACTACAATAACACTGTTTGAGACGCATTGGAAATGTTCCTGTGATGCATGTTCAATGATGGACATGAAATTAAACTAGTAAAGGTGTGAAAGCTCTGTTTTGAGAGTTTATTTGGGAAAAAAAACAGTCAAATGTGTTGTTGAAGAAACACTGTTACATATGGTCATACTTGATGATATTTTGCACAATTTTGCACAATAGTTCCATAATAATAATAATAATCATCATCATCATCATAATAATAATAATAATAATAATAAAAGTAATAAGTTGATAATATGCCAACATAATGTGCATTCCTGTGGACACGGGTGTTTGAAATAGGTCTACATAATCAGTGCTGCTTGTCATTTCAAATGACAAGACATATATTTCTTTCCGTGGAGATATTATCCATCCCCAGTGAATGGCCTCCACAACCCTAGTCCCCCCACCCCCCCCAAAATGCAAACAAAAATAATTACCCTTTGATAAACTCAACTAATTAATGGTCCCACTGTTGGCCTTGCCTTCACCATCCATTACAGAGCTATTTGTTAGAAAATGTCAAAGTTTTAATAAACCCCTAAACAACCCTTGCAACATGTGCTTAGCATTGGCATTTCCAGACTTATAATGAGAATTGTGTCACTAAAGGTTATTCCAATCAAAATTAATGTTGGGAGGGAAAAAAAAAAAGTCATGAGCCTTTGCTGTTATGGGATTTTTAAAATGGGATTTTATTCAAGCCCAAGCACAATGACGGTTACTGGAGGCCACACACTGGGGGTTGTGCCGATTTTGAGACCCCACTTGAGCAAGATGATTGTTTGTGTTGCTTCTAGCCGTACTGTTCTCTGCATCTTCACCTGCAAGTGTCTGCAAACCCGTACACATCTGGAAATATAGCCAGCAGAGAGTCGGCCCCTGGAATCATAGTGGCATCAGGTGAGTTTGGGTAAAAGGACTGATGATATAATTTAGAGAGAAATTTACCAGGGAAGAAGAAGAAAATTCTGTACATATAATGCAGAGTGATCTTATTTGTATTCATACATAAAGAGTAACTGTACTTTACTGTTTAAAATTGTAGGGGTGGTAAGATTTTTTTAATTTTTTTTTTTTTTTTAAAGCCTCTTATGCTGATGCATTTAATTAAAAATACAGTAAAAAGAGATATTGTGAAATATTAAATTAAAAGAATATTAATATATTTTGAAATATAATTTATTCCTGTGATGCAAAGCTGAATTTTCAGCACCATTACTCCAGTCTTCAGTGTCACTTGATCCTTCAGAAATCATTCTAATATGCTGATTTGATCCTCAAGAAATATTTTTATTTTTATCATCAATGTTGAGAACAGTTGTGCTGTTGTTCTAATAAACAGCATTTATTAGAAATCTTTCATAAATACATACATACATAAAAATATAAGATTTCAAAAAAATCTTACGTTCTAAATCTAAATGAATAAAAACAAATCTAAAATAAATCTTATAAATGTAATAGGCTGATTTGATGCTTATGATTTTTTTTTTAAATTGTTATTATTATTGGCATATTATTTAGTGGAAACTGTGATAGTTTTTTATTTTTATTTTTTAAAGTAAATAATAAAAGTATTAATTTCATACAAAAAAATCTTACTGACCCCAACCTTTTATTGATTTTTTTTTTGTTGAAAATTTGAAAATATTGAAAATATAAAATACAGTATACTTTAAAACAAACACTTTTATTTGTGTACAAATTTTGTCAAATTTAATAGTATTATTAATACTTAATACTATCTATCTTTACACATACTTCTTTTATGTTGTTTCATTAACTCTAGTTACTTTACTTTCTTAATTTTGGAACTGCCTTAATTTAAAAATGTGCCTGAAATATATCAGTCCATTTTTGGATCCTCCTTTAATCTTTAGATTTTGGTTACAGACAGGTAGAAAAAACTGTCTAAATGACAGGTACTGGAAGAAGAAAATACTTTTTAAAGTGTGTTGTTCTCATATTCTTCCTTAAATCCCTGACATCAGTTCTTTTTTTTTTTGTCCTGGAACTCCAAAGTGAAACATATTTAAATTCCTTTCATCTTGAGCGCTTATGACACTCTTATTGTTGAAGATGTTCATTTTGCGCTCGAGGAGTGCAGGCATCTGGATATGGACTATAAACAAGATTAGTGTCGTGCTAGCATGAACAAATGGAAATGCTAAGTGCTACTCTTGAGATTAGCGGCAGAGAGTCTTTAGAGTGTTCTTATTATTCTCTCTCCATCATCTTCTGTTTTCACAACCGACTAACTCTTCCACCACTTCAAACTTCAAATGTTTATTTTATAAGATTGAAAGTCACTTTTTCATTTTACTCCTTCAGGCTTGTGTCTTCCGCAACGTTCACCGACTATATTGCCTCTGGATGCACGCAGATGAAATATAAATGTCTTGGCACTGTAACTATCTGGATAAGTAATCCTAGGAGGAGACGACTATTAGATATTAGGCTCTAAATTGACGTTAGGTTGATTGATTTGATGGTAGAAGGGTTGTGGGGATGGCACAGACTTTCCTGAGTAGCTTAGCTTATTAGATAGAGAGGTTTTCCAGAACTCCTAGTTACCTCACAGGGTCAGACGCTGATTTCATTACACATGATGTATTTTCTGCTGTAAAAATCTATCTATCTATCTATCTATCTATCTATCCATCCATCCATCCATCCATCCATCCATCCATCCATCCATCCATCCATCCATCCATCCATCCATCCATCCATCCATCCATCCATCCATCCATCCATCCATCCGAGAGGTTTTAACTCCTAGTTACCTCACAGGGTCAGACGCTGATTTCATTACACATGATGTATTTTCTGCTGTAAAAATCTATCTATCTATCTATCTATCTATCTATCCATCCATCCATCCATCCATCCATCCATCCATCCATCTATCATCTGTTTTTCTGTCCATCCATCCATCTACCCACCGACCCACCCACCCATCTGTCCATCCATCCATCTATCTTTCTGTCCATCCATCCATTCATCCATCTATCCATCTATCCATCTATCTATCTATCATCTGTTTTTCTGTCCATCCATCCATCTACCCACCGACCCACCCACCCATCTGTCCATCCATCCATCTATCTTTCTGTCCATCCATCCATCCATCCATCCATCCATCCGTCCATCCATCCGTCCGTCCATCCATCCGTCAATCTATCCATTGATCTTTTTGTCCATCCATCCATCCATCTTTCTGTCCATTCACCCTCCCATCTATCCGTCCGTCCATCCATCCATCCATCCATCCATCCATCATCATTAGATTTTTTTCATTGAAATACTTTTTTTCTTATCCTGCAGTACATCATTGAACAAAACCAAGTTACATAAGAGTTAGTCTGTCACAGAATACTGCACACACTACAGTGTTGTGTGAAAAAGCAAAAGAGAGCATATGATCTTGTGCCGCAATCATATTCGGTAACACTTTATTTCGATAGTCCACTTTAGACATTCTATTACTATTATATAGTAAGTAACTTTGCAACTACATGTCAACTAGCAGTTAGTAGAGTATTAGTAGATTGTCTGCTTAATATCTTCTAACACTTTCTTTGTCAACTTATTCTACTAACCCTAAACCTACCCTAACAGTCTACTCTGAGAGTTAGTAGACATGTAGTTGCAAATTAATGAGAATTAGTTGACATGTAGTTGACATGTAGTTACAAAGTTACTTATAGTTAATATAATGTCTAAAGTGGACTATCGAAATAAAGTGTAACCTCATATTCTCTTCTGTCCCACAAATAATGTGCTGACCTTGTATTTTACAGTCCAAAAAAACATGCATTTTCTAACCTTCGCACTAATCTAGTCAACATTAGTAATCACAAATTAGGAAATGTAGTCATTGTGGGTAAACGATCAAGAGAAATACAAATTTGGACAAAATCCATAAAGCGCTTGCCAGCTTTTGGAATGAAGTATGAATGACTTTTGTGACGAGAAAAGGCACAATGCACTCAATCTTCATATTCATATAGCTTTAGTTATCAACTCTCTATCTGCTTCGGTAAGCATGACTGTAATTGTTCTGCTCTTCTCTCCTTAGGTTCAATTGGCGCAGAGTTAACGAGCAGCAATGTTAGCATGTTCATCACATCCGACGCTGGAAACACGTGGCGGCAGGTGACTCTGACCATGGGGGGTGTTCAGCCAGATGGGGGTGGGCAGTAATTTCAGCACTGATGCATATCTTTGAGCGGATAAATCCATGTGCCGCGTTTCAGAGCCGATAATCAAATGACACCTTCAGAGAAAACTAAATTCATTGACATATATGATGCCCGTGGGTGCATGTTTGATGATGCGATTTAAATTTATGGGGCCAGCTGTCTAATTAAAAATGGAGATCTCAAATAATTAAGAGAAAATTGATGTGGCAAAAAGTTAAAGCATGCTGGGTAGGGCACGGGTTTGATGTCATATATCTTGTCAGTAAGAATTACAATCACTGGGATTTGAGAACTAGCATTATTTCAAGGACAGCAGACCTGTGGTTGCCAGCTTCCATCTAATCAAATTGAAAGCCTTCCCAAGAAGAGTAAAGGATATGAAATATTGTCATAACTCAGCCAATCTGACATTATGGATGAAAATAACTCAGGAACATATATGTAACAATGCCCTGAGCAGAATAACATAATATGAACTTTTTTTTGTTGGCACTAAACCAACAAACCCACAATGATTATTTCAGAACTGCGCAGTCCTTATTTATCATAGATTTATGTTGATCAGAGCAACTGGGGTCAGATACATTTCTCAATTATAATGACTCTAGTGGGGCTTTTGGTTGATCCAACTTTTCCAGTGTGTTCACAGCCAAAGGAAAACAAAACAGACCCCGCACATTATCCCGCTAACATAAACACTAGCCTCGTAATCATTAGCCCATGAAATACTTAAGCCAATCAGATGGTGTTTTTCCTCCACTTTAACAGACTTGTTAAATGCTTGAAGCCTCAAGGCCTAAACTCAACAGGAATTCATATGAGCAAGAATTCACAGCACATACAGTGCGGTTATCAATGCTCTGGGGCAAACAAATGGAAACTGCTAATGAGGGCCTCAATTTTCAGTTCAACTTTGCAGTAGGTCAACCTTGCATCTGGCTGGATTTTCCTCTGTAAGGCAATTTCTTGTTTCATACATGTTTACAACTACTAGCAGTTCTGTAATGGTGACTGGAAAGGGTCATTTTTTTATTATTATATGCTTGCGTGTACTCTCAGAAGAAAAGGTACAAAAGCTGTCACTGGGGCAGAAAAGGTACATTTCTGCACCATATTTATCCCTAAAGAGTGGAAAATAGTAACTTAAAGGTACATATTAGTACCTAAATTGTAAATTTTAGTACCTAAATGGTGCAATTTAGTACCCTTTTGAAAAGGTTCTGCCCCAGTGAGAGCTTTTGTACTTTTTTTTTTTTTCTGAGAGTGTAGTTTAATTTTATTTTAATAATAAGCACAACAGACTTTAAGAAATAATGGTAAATTGATTACACAACAGCAAGAAGATTAACAGGATGGAATCACACTTGGAAATAAAAGGTTTAATTTAGCCTTTGCATTAGGTGACAAGTGGGTGTCACTTAGCAATTTCCAGTTTTTATCATTTTATCAAACATGATTGAATGCTTTAAAATGAGACAAACCAACTAATATAATAAAATATCATTGATATTTTCATTAATATCATTGCTGTTGTTTTCCCTCTAAAATGATTTTAAAAATGACATTAAGGTCACAGGTAATACCTATAAACTGATTACCAATTAAATGAATATTCCCAAGAAAACATGTTTGTTTGTTTGTTAAAAATATTTGAATTAAAAGAAACGCATGAAAGATTGTACAATATTTATAAATTTATAAATTGCCTTGTTTTTCATTTTAGAAGTTATCATGCTGGTGGCATGACAAAAAATGGCAACATCTGCTCAAAGAAAGTATTAAGATTACTTAAAATTTACCCCATGTTCACTAAATTGTGATCAACTAAATAATATTTTTATATTATATAAAGTTTTATATTTCATGTAGTCTTTTAATAATGGGAATTTCAAATGAGAGGAACAGCGCATAATTTATACATTTATTTAATTACTTGTTTACTTATTTATATATGTATTTATTCATATTGTACATCTTGGACATAAACACACATGCTCATATTTTCCGAATGTTTAAACGTTAAACTATGTTTGTCTGTTCCAGATATTTGACGAAGAGTACAGTGTGCTGTATCTGGATCAAGGCGGAGCTTTAGTGGCAATTAGACACACCCCTCTTCCCATCAGGCACCTCTGGTAATCCTGCACCAATATCATTACTAATATTCCATGCGTATGTTCGTAAAAAGATGAGTCAATGCAATCGCACCGAGCTGACTCACACAATCACGGGGAGTGTGAACGTTCTCATTAAACCCAGTAGACTGTGTAATACTTTTGTCTAGTAATCTAGATTAAATGTCGGAAAGGTGCCGTAAAGTCCTGTTTGAATTATTTGCCAGCTGTGTGTGGAAATGCAATCTTTTCTACACTGTATTGTAGTTTCAGGTGTGTGCTGCTGGTTTCTATGCAGGTTGAGCTTTGATGAGGGGAGGGTATGGAACAAATACAGTTTCACTTCATCGCCCCTGTTCGTGGACGGCGTCTTGGGCGAACCAGGCGAGGAAACGCTCATAATGACGTAAGTATGATGAATATTCAGTAGTAATACATTTTGATTGTTCTGGAATGGGAAAATGGTGCTTGTTGAAATATGGTTTATGTTATGAACACTGTAAACCCTAAGAAACTGAATGTCCTCAAAGGACAGAACAGCTTTGTTAGACATGCATACTAACATAAAAATATTAATACCATTTAATCTAGCTAGAAAATAATATATATATATATATATATACGCCATATGCATTGGCAGTAGCAAGTTCCTGTACTTGCTTGCAGCAGCAGCAATAATCACCAACTACCGCAATAACCAACAGCAGCATCAATTCAGCAGCAGCGTAGCAGATCTGTTCCGCCAAGACCAAATACATTAACATTGTCATATCCATCACCATGCTAAAATGTTCCGAGAGTTGTCATGATTGAAATACACTCACTGACCACTTCATTAGATACACCTTACTAGTTACCTTGCCTTACACCTTAGGTCTATCTAATAAAGTGGCTGGTAAGTGAATATTAAGATAGATAGAATATATAGAGTAATAATGCATTATGGATGGATGCCTGCTTTTATGAAACCAAATAAAGTATATGCATATTAATTTATACTTTATAATAAATTATATTGTATAACTAAAAATAACTTTATTGTAAACAATTGTGAGTTTGTATCTCATAATTGCATCTTGTACTTATGACTTTAAATCTCACAGTCTCTATTTTTCATAATTGTCACAGTGTGACTATATCTTATTTTAAGCTCTGTCACGATTACATGTTTTACTTTCATAAGAATAAATGGTAATTGTAAAAAAAAAAGTGAGTATAAAATGCTCAGTGCTTTGCTTGATGATACTTGGTGATAAAAATAAAGCAATTAATGATAAACCAAGTGATTTATTTTTAGACCTTCCAGTAATGAATCACCTATTTAAAAAGAGGAATCAATAAAACCATCAAGCCAGTCCTGATTTTACATCATCCTGAATCCAGCACAGCCTAAAATTATTTTGAGAAGTATTTCATGAAGTTTTCCTTTGTAGGATATTCCTAGATACTTTCTGCCGTCTTTCTGACAGGCCCTAAAAGTGTCACACTGTTCTTGAGTGTCAGACTTTCTCAATGTGAGTTTCAGACTTTTGTTGACAGTTTGACGCAGGTTTCCACTGATGGGGTTTGACTTGGATAACATTGCTAAGCATTTCCTTTCCCTGTCCGCTCTACATCTTTCTAATCATTAGAGTCACCGCGCTCTGGATATACCACTGCTCGCCAGACATACAGTGGCTGATGTTGTGCCTTTGTTTGCAGGATCTTCGGTCATGTCAGTCACCGCTCAGAATGGCAGCTGGTAAAGATAGACTTCAGATCTATCTTTAACAGAAGATGCATCGAGTCTGACTATGTGCCGTGGGATTTACATGACCAGGTGAGAAATAATTTTATTATTATAACGTTTGATCCCCAATTCTGAATATTTGCCTAAATCCTTGTTTCATACAGTGTTGTATGTTGATCTCTTTAAAGAGGAAAGAAAATGCGTAATTGTTAAAAAATAAATAAATCATTAATTCTGTATATGATGTAACAAACATAAAAAACATACAATTTTCACAAACTTTACAATATTTTCTTTTATTTCATTATTTTTAATAGTATTATATTCCATTAAATTAGACATGTTTTCATAGAATCAGTTATTTTAGCATCATTGAGATCCTGTTCTTATTTGTATTACTATTTTGAATTAGTTTTTGCTTTTATATTTTCTGTTTTAAATCAAGTTTTAGTAACTTTGTTGTGTGTTTTTGTCATTTTTATGTCTGTTCAGTTTTTAATATACCATGAATTAAGTAATGAATTTTGACAAAAGCATAAACCTTATGTCAGACTTGTGTTTAAAAGAAAAAAAAAAGAAGAAAAACAAAACAAAACAATATGACCTAATGGAAAGATCAAAAAAAGTTTTCATATTGAATTTAAATAATCTGAAGTCTCAAGTTTGCAAACTGTAATGTGTGTCACTGTCGCCAACAACAAACAACTTTTTAGCTTTGATTAAAGGTACATGGGTAGTATTTTCTGGAAAAGAAAACAAAAAAAGGATTGCTCCAAGTCCACTCGGGCTCCGTTTGTGACAATCCTCTGTAAACGAATCTTAATGTCATTAATGTCCTTAACTCAACTTCTATACTGCATCTCAAGCCTTAAAATTAAGAGAGCCCAGTCTTGATCAGATACCTTTCTGCTTTGTCTGGTCTTTCCAGCATAATAAACCCTCCAGTGAGGCCTGACACTTTAGATTGCACTAAAGAGTGTGCCACATTGACTTCCTGTTGTTTGAAACTTATGAGATTCCTTTCTAACCGGCCCTGACATGCTTTTTCAGGGTCTGCTGCCGAGGCTATTTGAACAGGCTATTTGAATAATATATGCCAGAAGTTAAGTGTCCTCTCACAGGAGGATAATAGCACAAAACCAAAATAAAATCGCAGTATTTGGAGCACTAATTTGAAGGAAGCATGTTAACAAAAGACTAGGCAAAAAATGTTATTGCAAGATACATGAAATGTGAGTGAGAAGGCTGGAAGCCTGAAATATTTGATAAAATGAACCCCACAGAGTTCGGATGTGAGATATGAAATATAGAAACAACCAAGTACAATGAGTGGAATTATTTTTTTTCTCTCTCTTTCCTGTTTTCTCTCGTCTTCTTTCCAGTCTCTTATTTATTTATTTATTTTTTCTAAATTCAGGGTGATGTGCACATGCTTTGTTGTAATGAATTCATGTGAGAACTGAAATAAACCTGAACGAGAACACCATATGCCAACTTTATGTAGAAAATATTTGTGTGTGTGTGTGTGTGTGTGTGTGTGTGTGTATGTATGTATATGTTGAAATCCTCCTTACAGGGTGAACGCTGCCTCATGGGAGTCAAAAGAGTTTACCGAAAGCTGAAGCCCATAGCAAGGTGTGTTATGGGTAAAATCTACTCTGTCACAACGATTTCCGAGCCATGTGACTGCACTGAGTCGGACTTTGAGTGGTAAGCAAACAAACATTTTTCGTCTAAGATTCAAGCTCTATTCTAAAACTTTGATGACTACAGACTGCACTAACAAAGTCATATGCCAGTATGAAAAACCACAGAAAAATAGTTGATTTTTAATTGTATAATTTTTTTTATTATCATCCAGCTACATTAAAGTGATTATTAAGTTTTGAATATGGATATTTTTCTTACAAAAACGCATCGATTCGCTACAGGAGGCCTTTGTTCACCCCCCGGAGCTGTGTGAGACACTTTTTTTTAGGGATGGGCGCTTTTTATTTAACTTATTTTGGACTGATGAAGTGCAACACCCGCTGACTGCCATTAAACAGCTTGAAAGATCAAAGACATTTTTTAATATAACTCCGACTGGATTCGCCTGAAAGAAGAAAGTATTCTAAAATACTTCTAAAAAAATTATTTAAAAAAAATGAATAAATAATAATAATAATAATAATAATAATAAAGCAGCTTTTACACAAATTAAGCTGTTTTCAACATTAATAATAATAAGAAATGCTTTGTAAACACGAGAACAGCAAATTAGAATGGTTTCTGAAGAATCATGTAACATTGAAGCCTGGAGTAATGACTGGAATAAATTACATAAAAAAAATATATATTAAAATACAAATCAGTTATTTTGAAATTTAATAATATTCGTTTTTTATCAGATAAATGCAGCCTTGGTGAACAAAATAAACTTCATTCAAAAACATTTTTAAAAAATGACCCCAAACTTTTGAATGGTATGCATGTCAACAGTTGTCTCTTTAGAAATTATAGAAGAAATATCTGAAACAAAGTTCACACTTAAATGAAACATGACTGAGAACTCCATTAAGTCTCTCTAGAAGAGCTCTCTAAAAGAGCAACTTTTGAGCAATGACATTTTCTTCTAGGTAGTGTTGCAGCCAATGTCCTGTCTGCAAGACACATGCTAAAAGGGTTGAAGGGCTTGTGAATTAAGTTGTGGCTAGTCCTCACCATACGGAACAAAGTGTGAAAGTTGTTAATCAGGGAGTGAAACGCTGTGCGTTTACCAACACAAGCTGCCTACATCTGTGTAGCATGTCATGGTGATTAGTGTCATTTGTTTTCTTGATTGGGGTGTTGAGTTGCCTTGACAAATAACTTTGGCTTGTATTGTCTAATGTTCTAAAAATAAATGAATAAATAAAAAATGTAGATGTCAAAATTATTTTTGGAAGTATTTTTATGCTGACAAAGATTTTCATGCATTTGAATACAAAGATATGTCTCTCTCTCTCTCTCTCTCTCTCGCTCTCTCTCTCTCTCTCTGGGTTAGTTATTTTTTAAATGTTAACATGAAAGAGAGATGCTAGCACTGCTGGCTACTATGCAATTTTTTTAAATAAATTGTTAGAAATTAAAAATTATATGACTGCAAAGAAATACTAAATATTTAAAGCATAAATAATTTTCTTGACTTGCCAGAAATAAAAAAGATTTAGTCCATTTCATTAAGTATAATGTGGGTGACACTTAGACTTTTGCTTTAAATACATATTATTCCTGACAGCTAATATAATTATTTCCATATAAAGGTGAGGATTATTCATGTTAATCATAGCGGGAAAGATTGGCATTCTGACTTTAATATTATGATTTCTTAAGGCTTTCTTAATGTAAGTATTTTACAGTTGGCAAATATCAGTGTTTATTTTACCAAAAATACACTGAAAAAAAAAAAAATAAAATTGGTGTGGGATTTACTTATAAACAATTTCACTCAGAAATTGCTAGTAAATTTCACAAATAATTTCAAAGAAATGGCAAAGTTACACACTGAATTAAACTACATTTTGAAGCAGGGAAACTTAAATTGTATTCTCTTATAAAATGAGAAATTCTCTTACAACTTAGAAAAAATCTTTTTATTTATTTATTTATTTATTTATTATTATTTAATGGTGTAGCATGGAGTTGACTGAGTTATGAAAGACAAATTTTATAATGAAAGAAATACCTTTTTCAGACCAATGGGATTCTGGCTTAGCGCTGTGAGATCTGGGTTGACAACTGTGTTATACTGGCTAAACACGAAAGTCAAGAAGTAGAGACCTCATGGGTGTTTATGTTTTTTTTCACAGTGATTATGGCTTCGAGAGAAGGGCTAATGGGAAATGTACTCCGGCATTCTGGTTCCTCCCCTCCTCCATGTCTCGGACCTGTACTACAGAACACACGTTCCTCAACAGCACTGGGTGAGATCTCATGTGACACATGCATCTGTCTATTAAAAGTGATTGTCCGATGTTCTCATTTAGATAGCTAAGTCGACTTGTATGTGTTTGTTCGTGAGATTTTCAATTAAACATGTTCGCCATCTGTATCCTCAAATGATTTTAATGCATGACTCATTTCAAATGTTGTGTGTCTTTTCCCTGTTACAGCTAAGCAGACTAATGAATTTCAGTGTTGCCAACTGGTCATTTTGTATTGTAGGTTCAGAATAGGTTTATAAATGTGTGTCATTTGAATGAATGTCATGCGTCTGTGTGTATGTGTGCAGGTACAGAAAGGTGGTGTCTAATAACTGCACCGGAGGGGTGATGGAGCAGTACACGGCTCGTAGGCAGCTATGCCCTAGCCAGGCCCCTCGCGGCCTCCACTTAGTGACCAGCGAAGGGAAGCTAACGGCGACTCTTGCCAGCAACGTCACCTTCCTTGTCTTCCTGGAGGAGGTATAGAAAGATTCAGTGTTTCCTGCACTGCTTTTCAGTGACAAACATACATTGACATACATGATCTTTTGGGGAATTTGAGTTTGCAGTCTGAGCAGATATAACAACTGCAAGAAAACACATCTTTCCCAATGAGTGCTAATGAAAACTAGTCATTTTGATCAGTGTGAATTCCCATGAAAATTCCTATGTTCAGAAAGACTCACAAACTAAAGAGTGGTTTTAATTCCTCTGACAAATCCATCACTGAATATTATAATCGTAATAAATTATATAATTACATAATTACATTTGTAATATGCATATTACTATGGTAACACTTTAGTTTAGGGACCAATTGTACTAGTTGCTTATTAGCATGCATATTACTAGTATATTGGCTGTTTATTAATACTTACAAAGCACATATTAATGCCATTTTCTTAAGCCTACCCCATACCTAAATTTAACAACTACATTGTTAATTATTAATAACCAGCAAATTACGAGTTTATTGAGGGAAAAAGTCATAGTTATTAGTGAAAATTGGTCCCTAAACTAAAGTGTAACCATCTACAGCTAACCCCCAAAGAACAGAGATAACCCTCATCCACCATAAACAGGGCATTGTAAGCTTGAGGTCTTGAGAAATCATGACAGACCATCTTGCCTGCACAAGAGCAATGTTTTCCCATGGTAGATCAAGCGCTCTGGGACAGACAAGATGTCCTCCAAAGCAGATGAACTGACAGCTGAATGAATCGTACACACAGCTTTGCCAGTATCGTAGTCAGGAACAGTTTTGCTTTCTGCCTAAAAAAGGGAAAAATTCTCAGATATTACAGAAAGTTCTCAGACTAAAGAACATTTGTTCAGCAGCCTGGTTGTGTTTTTTAGCTAGACTCAATGATGTTGTTACCCTTTTTTCCCAGGGTGATGGATCGAAAACCAGCATAATGGTGGATTTCGGCGACGGAAACGCTTTCACCTACTCCAACGTGAGCTCTATCGAGGATGGCATTAAACACATCTACAAGAACGTGGGAATCTACCGAGTGTCAGCCACGGCGGAGAACAGTCTGGGCTCTGAAACGGTGCTCCTCTTCCTACATATTACGTGTAAGCCAAGACGTGGGAGGGCGAGTAACAATATGCACAATACAGACAGCCATATCGTATTCTGATTTCATATCCTTAATGTATTTTAAAGACCCACTGGGTCTGAGCACTCTGAACTCATTTATGCTTTATTGACCAGAAAAATCTCATTTGGCCTTGGTCGTATTGCACTCCACATTAAGCAATCTAGATTTCAATCTTATAGCCTCTAACTGGTTCATGAGATTGGAATCATCCCTCTTAGTTATTGCTGACAGTAACTTCAGTGTATGATGAAGGTCCTCTGGAGGCAAAATATCATCCAGGTCTGATAAACTTTACTTAATGCAACTTTTACAATTATGAATCAGTTATTTTTAGTCAGTTAAAACCATACAGCACACAATCAGTGTAGTCCAATCAATTTCCAAACAAATGACTCTTTTGAACAATTATTTTAGGTGAATCAAACACAAACAGTTTACAGTTTAGTCTTGTGTTGCTCATAAAACTCCTGAGACTTCATATGACTATAAGGTATAAGGTAGTATTTTATATATATATTTTTATATTTTTAAATAATAATTCAAGCAAGTTTTGGAGCCTTATTACACAACTATTTGGAATATTTGATTCTAATTCTCTTGATTCTTTATGGCAGAAAACACACAGCATGCCTACATTAGTCCGATTCCCTAATTATTGAATCTTATGAGTCGGTTCTGTTTAGTGAATCATAATACAGCACAACTGGTATAATCTGATTGCCAAACGGATGTCTCTTATGAAACAATTATTTTAAGTAAATTAAAACCATACAGTGTGAACAGTGTAATCCAACCGATTTCCAAACAAATGACTCTAATGAATGATTCCTCTAAGTGACTAACAGCATAGAACTGTTATGTTTATTGTTACGTTGTACTTAGAACTACTGAGACGTCTTATGACAATGTGCAGCATACATTGAGTAGCATTAAAAAAGTTACCACATTTGTTGCTTGTTTAATATTGTTGTTTAATATATAGTTAATACCAATTATTGAATTGCCTTCATGCTGCCTCTACAGACTGAGAAGTCATTAAAAAGCATTGATTTCAGATGCACTTGCCCCTTAATGTTTTGAAGAGAGAGAGAGAAAAAAAGTGTGGTTGGTCATTTCACATGTTGGTCAAATGGCCTATTCCTGTCTGCGTTGGTGGTTCTTGGCCAAAATATGGATTAGACTTTATGCCAACAATTTACAGACTTTTGAGCAGACAACTCTATCCGCTTATGTTGCAGTAATGTTGGAAGATGTTATTTTAACACATTCTACAAGCAGATGGCCTGAGTTTTTGTAGCTTTTTTTAGTGGTTGTAGTCTGTGTTCATGCTAGAGGAAGCTCATCAAATATCAGCTTCTAACAGAGATTAACTAAGCATTTTGATTCAAATGTTCGCCCTTTTTCTCATGTCCACCTACTCAGTGAACTTGCCAGCCCCTGCTACATTCAGGCAGACAGATGCCTCCGCAGTGACATATTGACCAGGGAGTCGGAACGCTTCCAATCTGTCAATCCTGTCGTGCCAGGCAAAGCAAATAGGGCCTCTGGAGCATGAGCTGAAATTCACATGCAGATGGCTCTGTGTTGCTAGGAGAAGTATTTGTGAATGAATGAATATATGGTGGGATCATTAGGAGGACGTTTAGTTTGGGCTGTAACTTTGTTAAGGCATATTCTTTTTATAGTAAATAATAACCACATTCTACCCCAATTTGCTTTGGGATTGGTAAGATTTTTAGAAGATGTAGAAGAGTTGGAAGATTTATTTATTTATTTACTTTTTTGAAAGCCAAGGCTGCATGTATTTGATCAAAAATACAGTAAAAACAGTAATATTGTAAAATAGTATTACAAATTAAAATAACTGCTTCTATTTTAATGTATTTTAACATATAATTTATTCCTGTGGTGGCAAAGCTGAATTTTCAAGTGTCACATGATCCTTCGGAAATCATTGTAATGTTGATTTTGTGCTCGAGAAACATCAAAAGTTTGGGGTTGGTTTGATTGATTGATTGATTGATTCATTCATTCATTCATTCAATGTTGAAAACATGCTCAAAATTTTGTCATTTTGATCTATTTAATGTTTTTGTTAAATAAACGTTTTTCCAAGAAAAAATACATTAAAAAAAAATCCATTTAGTAGATGATGTTGTCAACAATTTAATGTTACCAGAAATATTAGCAGTTAAGTTATACTAAAATAAATATATTCTTTAAAATGCTGTAAAAAAAAAAAAAAAAAAAACTTCCAAATGCATTTTTTTGTGATTTTTATCACTAAAATGAAACAAACTCCGTTGGTTCTCTCAGCTGTCTTTAACATGACAGGTTTAAATGTGACCAACTAACTTTTCTATTTTCTTTCTCTATCGGAGCAGGCCAACTGCAGTCTATTCATCTCTCTGCCCCTTTTGTCGCTGTGAAAAATAAAGAAGTCAATCTGACGGTGGTTCTCTCGCCAAGCCAGGTGGGAACGGTCACCTATATCTGGTGGTTTGGGAACAATTCAGAGGTAAAGTCTCCATGTGTGACTCACTGGACACCTGTGCATGACTCAGTCTGTGTGTGTGTTAGCCTCACAGAGTGCCATGTAAATAAAGTTGGCATCTTCACTGCAACTACGCTGACAGGGCGTACTCTAGAGAGTCTCTCTTACACTGTATTCACAGCCCGTGATCACGCTGGAGGGGAGTGTGGCGTTCACGTTCTCTCGAGAGGGAATCAGTGTTGTCACTGTACAGGTGTCCGCTGGGAATACCATCCTGCAAGACAGGAAAACCATCGCTGTCCACGGTGAGTTTTACATACAACAAGTAAACAGACTGCTAGGTACTGAATATAGCTTCATATATTAGCAATGAGCTTTCTCAAAATGTGTTTTATTCTTTGCTCATTGTATATTTGTGATACTTTTTGAAAATATCAACACTTTAACTATTGCAGTTAAGCATACAAGGTATAGTACAAATGGTAAAAAAAAAATAATGTTATGTTATTATACTATTTTTTTATGTATTTGAAGGAAGTCAATTATGATCATCAAGGCTGAGTATTATGCTCACCAAAAATACAATCAAAACAATAATATTGTAAAATATCATTACAGTTTCAAATAATTGTTTTTATTTGAATATTTTGTAAAGTGTAATTTATTCCTGTGATGCAAAGCTGAATTTTCAGCATCATTACTTAAGTCTTCATTGTCACATGATCCTTCAGAAATCATTCTTATATGCTGATTATTCATGTTGAAAACAGTTGTGCTGCTTCATACATACACACACACATATATATATATATATATATATATATTGCATTCTTGCTGAATATAAGTTTACATTTCTTTTCAAAAAGAAAAAAAAAATCCACTAGATCAAAGACTTTTGTAAGTATATATATAATGCAAGGAAACATATTTTTTTCCAATAACAACACTGCTAAAACAACAACTGTTTTAATCTGACATCACCAAGCTCTCTTGTTTTTTTTCATTAATGTAAATTATGCGTGGACACCTAACCTCTATTTGCAATTGCTAATGTTTTTCAATTAATGAAAATTAATATTTTTAATGATTTTTTTTTTTGGATATCCTCAGGAATGTTAAAAGTCAAAATTAAACCTCATTCATATCACATTTTAAATACTATATCATACAGTAAATACACACTGAAAACAGATGCTGCAGCAAAGGTGCACTGCAGTGCAGAAGTCAAAAACTAATTAATAATTGTAAGGTTTTTTTTTTTTTTTTTATTACAGAATACTTCAGATCTCATCTTCTTGCCTTTTCGTCTAATCTGGATGATCACAACCCTGATGTGACTGAATGGAGGCTTGATGTGAGTCGAGTCATTAAAACCTCTATGTTGCAGGTGAGTTCAATCCATTTACCATTTGACAAAAAACATTCACTTTTCACACAGCTGAAAATCTGGCCCTCTGTTCAGTGGCATTACAGAGTTCAATATATAATGCTTCACTGCATATACAATATAATAAAGCATGAGGAGGCAATCATGTCTGTTTGCTCTGAGATCATCTACTGTATATAGTGTAGAGCTAACATAAGGTTAAAGCAGATATACATATTAAAGTCTTTCATTTCCTTGGAGGATGTAACTACAGCCTGTTTATTCATATTGACTCGGGTACACAAGAATAAATAAATTGATTTTTCTCTTTTCACTTAAACTTTCTCTAATGTCTGTCAGTGCTCTTTGCACAAGGTTTAAATGAGTGTGTGCAAGAATATTCATCATCTGATCTGACATGGCTCTAGGATAAAGAATATAAGTTGACTCATTTCTATCAGGCACAAAGACAAATTGCAAATGATTTTATCAAACAATGATCAAGGTCTTCTAGGAATTTCCTGTATAGATATCAAACACAGGATGACAATAAACCACTAATGGACGAATTGCTCAAAACTGTGATGGCTTTTGACATTTCAGGATGTGTTTTGAGCATTATTTGACAAATTAATTAAGTTTTGTTGTCATAGAAATTGTAATGGCATTAAAACAAAAACCTTTCAGAGAATCTCCATTTAAAGAGCTACTCAAGTAAACCTGTCGAGAGGGCATTTATATGTTCAGCGTATTAAAAAAAAAAAAATTCCATGAATAAAAAGTTTACAAATACAAGTGTAGTCAGGAGCTTTGTTGGATTTTCATGTCCCACACTTTGCTTGAAGAACTCAAGTTGACACACTTGTTTTAAAATTGGCTTCCAGCTTCGCCTTCACAGATGGAAGGAAAACACCATTGTGACAGGAAAAGCTTCACGAATATTCAAACATATGGCACAACAGACCAAAACAATTATCAGTGTTCTCCTGCACTTCCCCCATGGAATTTTCAAGAGGCCGTTATAACTGAACATGGGGACTTTCTTTATGGATGTTTATGGAATATGACACTTGAGAATAATGGTTCTCGTGTGAGCCATATGCGTGTTCTGCTCTAGTTGGTTAGTGGTAATGTGTGTAATGAGTTTTGCGCTGGGCATATGGACAGGAACGAGGTGGACGTTGTGACCTTGTAACATAAACCAAGGAGAATTTTATATATTCGTATTCAGTCTGAAAGGCATAGTTCACCCAAACATAAAAATGCTGTCTTTATTTACTCACCCTCATTTCATTTCAAACCATTTTGGAACTGTGGAACACAAAAGGGGAAATGCAGAAAAATCGATTTGTTGCAAGAGTGGGAACCAATGATGTGTGTCATGATGTCAAATCTGGTTCAATCCGTCTAGAAGACGTGAGGGAGTAAATGATGCCGAAATGTTCATTTTTAAACTGAAACTTTAAATGAATCGCAGCTGTAATGGACTGTGTAATCATGTGTATTCATGACAGTAAACAATATATATATTATTTTATTGTATTATTTTAATTTTTATTTGTGACCCTGGACCACAAAACCAGTCATAAGGGTCAATTTTTTTTTTTAAATTGAGATTTATGCATCATCTGAAAGCTGAATAAATAAGCTTTCCATTGATGTATGGATGTATTTCCTTGGAGGATGTAACTACAGCCTGTTTATTCATATTGACTCGGGTACACAAGAATAAATAAATTGATTTTTCTCTTTTCACTTAAACTTTCTCTAATGTCTGTCAGTGCTCTTTGCACAAGGTTTAAATGAGTGTGTGCAAGAATATTCATCATCTGATCTGACATGGCTCTAGGATAAAGAATATAAGTTGACTCATTTCTATCAGGCACAAAGACAAATTGCAAATGATTTTATCAAACAATGATCAAGGTCTTCTAGGAATTTCCTGTATAGATATCAAACACAGGATGACAATAAACCACTAATGGACGAATTGTTCAAAACTGTGATGGCTTTTGACATTTCAGGATGTGTTTTGAGCATTATTTGACAAATTAATTAAGTTTTGTTGTCATAGAAATTGTAATGGCATTAAAACAAAAACCTTTCAGAGAATCTCCATTTAAAGAGCTACTCAAGTAAACCTGTCGAGAGGGCATTTATATGTTCAGCGTATTAAAAAAAAAAAAATTCCATGAATAAAAAGTTTACAAATACAAGTGTAGTCAGGAGCTTTGTTGGATTTTCATGTCCCACACTTTGCTTGAAGAACTCAAGTTGACACACTTGTTTTAAAATTGGCTTCCAGCTTCGCCTTCACAGATGGAAGGAAAACACCATTGTGACAGGAAAAGCTTCACGAATATTCAAACATATGGCACAACAGACCAAAACAATTATCAGTGTTCTCCTGCACTTCCCCCATGGAATTTTCAAGAGGCCGTTATAACTGAACATGGGGACTTTCTTTATGGATGTTTATGGAATATGACACTTGAGAATAATGGTTCTCGTGTGAGCCATATGCGTGTTCTGCTCTAGTTGGTTAGTGGTAATGTGTGTAATGAGTTTTGCGCTGGGCATATGGACAGGAACGAGGTGGACGTTGTGACCTTGTAACATAAACCAAGGAGAATTTTATATATTCGTATTCAGTCTGAAAGGCATAGTTCACCCAAACATAAAAATGCTGTCTTTATTTACTCACCCTCATTTCATTTCAAACCATTTTGGAACTGTGGAACACAAAAGGGGAAATGCAGAAAAATCGATTTGTTGCAAGAGTGGGAACCAATGATGTGTGTCATGATGTCAAATCTGGTTCAATCCGTCTAGAAGACGTGAGGGAGTAAATGATGCCGAAATGTTCATTTTTAAACTGAAACTTTAAATGAATCGCAGCTGTAATGGACTGTGTAATCATGTGTATTCATGACAGTAAACAATATATATATTATTTTATTGTATTATTTTAATTTTTATTTGTGACCCTGGACCACAAAACCAGTCATAAGGGTCAATTTTTTTTTTTAAATTGACGTTTTGATATTTACAGTAAGAAATTTACAAAATATCTTCATGGAACATGATCTTTACTTAAAATCCTAATGATTTTTGGCATAAAAGAAAAATCAATAATTTTGACCCATGCAATGTATTGTTGGCTATTGCTACAAATATACCCGTGCCACTTAAGACTGGTTTTGTGGTCCAGGGTCACATTTAATTTTTTAATTTTTTATTTTTTAATCAGAGATTAATTGAAATTTTAATGGCTCAAAAACAAAGTAAAGAAGTCTCTTTTTCTGCATTTATTAGAAAATGCAGTACAAAATTGTGAATTATTAAAATTAAAATAACTGTTTTATATTTTAATAGAATGCACATTTATTCCTGTGATGCAAATAATTTTTAGTAGAGTCATACAATATTTCTAAAATGCTGATTTGAAACGCATCTCATTTAATGTAATGTTAAATTGTTCTCTGATTAATATTTAGTCAAATCTGTGATTTTTTTTTTCAGGATTATTTGATGAATAAAAGGCTCAAAAGAACAGAATTTATTTGAGATCTTTTGTAACATTATATTTACTATGACTTATCATCAATTTAATGCATCCTTGCTGAATAACAGTATTAATATCTGAATAATAATACTAATAATTTCATAAAAATCATAAAATGAGTGAGAAAAAAAATACAGTAAATCTCAAAAGAGCATTAGAGGTAAAGACATTGTCTTTTTTTTAAACCGGAGTCTTTGATCCTTGTAATCCTCTAATCCTATTTAATGGTTGATTGTATCACTAATGCTCTGTTTCCTGTTCTTCAGGCGGCAGGAGTGAATTCAGAGCAGCTGTTGGTCACTGTGTTGCCTGGACTGCCAACAGCGGCCGAGTTCTTTCTGTTACCAGACATACGGCTGACAGAGGGTAAACCAGACAAAACAGCTACCCATTTAGACCAGGTACTGGACATAACCCTCATCTTACATTATGCATTATTTTCAATCTCAGTTGTGAAACACTCAGCTATAATTAATGTTTTGCTTTACTTTTGTCTCTTCTTCAAGGAGAAAAGGCTCAGATGTTCAAATGCTATTTTCAAATTCCTTTCAAATACAAAAGGATGTTGTTGGGTAAAAGGAGGATCTTGACAAGAGTTTCTTATGGTCTCCAGCAGATGTCAATGTTGGCCTGTTTAACTCTTGACAAAACCCTGTTTTTACTAGTCCACACAGATTTTTCTTGATCAGAAAATCTCTCATTTTCTCCTGAAATTAAATACTTGGTTAAAAGACAAGCACATAAATACACTTTCATAAGCAACTTCAGAAAAAGTGGCTTTCTGATTAGATCTCAAAGCTTAATGAGATACATTTCTTTTAACTCGCTTGTGAGTGGGGTGAATTGTTAGGTCATGGCTAATTCTGGCCATTCCGCAGTGCATTTGGCCATACCAGAGAACAGCCATTATCGAATATGAGAAGATGCCTCATATCCTCCAATATTAACATGCAGAGTCATCTATATTTTTAGGCAGTGATTTCTCATCATACAGACTATAGAGGAGGTCATTAGTAATCCATCCACTAGATCATTCAGTTTTCCCTTTGCTTATGGGCCAGATATATTATATCACAGATGATAGGGGGATATCTGCACTTTGTGGATGTCCATGAGTGGGTGCCTAAGCAGCACCTTTTTAGCTTTTTTTTTTTTTTTTCTCGCCCAAACCTTCCTTGAATCTGCAATGGGCCTTTCACTGCAGATCCTCATAAATCTCTGTTCAAGGGTGGGATGTTCAAAGTATAATGTGTAGATAGCCTTATTAAAAAAGTATAATAGACTGACTGACCCTGGTACAATTCATAAAGCAAGTAATTATTCATAGTATGGTCTAATTTTAAAAGGGTGAGAAATAAGGACAGAGAGAGACAGAAGGTGAGAACGACGGAGAAATAAAGGAGCACAGAAATAAGTCAGGAGTCATTTAGTAAATGAGACAGATTTAATGAAGCTTGGGTTGAAAGAGCGAAAAGGGTGTTTCCTTGAACGGGAAATAGTTTTGTGAGAGGTTTAGCACCATCATCACTGAACTCAGATCTGATACCCAAGATGTTTATGAAAAAAAAAAACTCTTAATTATGTTTAATTTGTTAATATGTAATTTGTTACGCTTAACATACGTAAAAAAAAACTAAACAAAAAAAAACACTTAAACAGTGACTAGATGGTGTCTACATTTCAATGAGCTAATATACTGTAGTTCATGGGCGTCGCTAGGCCATTTTTAGGGGGGGCTATAGCTACTCAGCCCCCCTAAAATTTTGCGATTAGTTCCATAAACTGTACACAAATTCGTGATCGCCTCAGTCCCCTTTAAATTTCATATGAAAATGGTGGCAGACTTCGATTGGCTCCTCCCCGTTTCAGCGCGTTCTTTTTCAATCCGCAGACCGCAGCGGCGCAGAGCGAGAAACAGAGGACAAAGTGTGTGTTTATCGATAGATTGTTATAATATCTGCATCTGTGCAGTTCTTTGTCATAAATACAGTTTAC